AGCTAACAGGATAGGTTCTTGAACACAGGCCACAATGCAGCAGCTACCAACTACCACAGGAATTTATTCATACTTGAGGATTATCCCTCATAACAATAGAAGCCATAAGGTTATGCTAAATGTTAGCTTTCAAACTGGTTAAAACTCAAAACAAAAACCAAGTCAATTCCTCCTTGTGTGGCATCATACCTAAAGGTAAGCAATGACGTCAGTTCCTTTTAAAAGTGAACTTTGTAACCCTTCCATTCTCTCAGCCTTACCAGGCCCCTCCACCCCCAGACCAATCTCCAAGCACTATTTTTCTCCAAAGGCAGCAAATTTATTCATTACCAGATGCTGATGATAAGCTCTTTGAAGCTCTTCTTCCTAGTTCCTCTGATCACTCACTGTTGGTTAGTAAGGTATAAATGGGTAATAAACACTCAGAACAGGCTGACAAGTCAGACAGTGGTTTGGTAAAGGAGGTGGATGCCTCATCTGCAGAGGTCAATTTTTCCATACTTTGTCCCTTTTCCTGCCTCCCTCCCACAATATACAAACATCTTCTCCAGAAAGTCTTCTCCAGATCAGCAAAGTGATAAGACTAGCATCCCATTTGATGCACTGGAGGCCTTTATCTAAACAAATGAATACACACACTTGCCTTGGCTGTCTCAGTGAGTTTCCTAGGAGTCTCAGAAGTTGAAAGCACAACCTCATAGGTTCTGTGACTGCTCACTCTAACCTCCAGGACTCAGGCACGTGTTCACTTAATTACGCCACTTGGTATCACTGCCCTGGAAATTCAAGTTAATTCTGGTCATCAACAAGAGGTATCCAACAGAATTTTGATTTTCCCCAATCCTGGGCTGGCAAGTTCCAACATCTAAATAAATGTCAGATTCACTATCAGGAAAGACTGACATAGTAATAGCACCAGGTTCTTGGCTGTGTCCCTCTGTCATACTGCCTTCATTCCCCCATCCTGTCCATATACCATAATTCAAGGAACATCAACTGTCTACACATAGCTAATGTGGGAGAATAGGACTAACATCTATCAACTCTGGTCCACTTGACCTAATCCTCATAACAACTCTCTGAGATTGGAACTAAAATGATTCCATTTCTACAGTGAGAAAGCTGATGCTTAGTAAGGTTAAGAGGCAGAGAAGTGACTTTAAAGATTTATCTGCTTGGTTCCAATGTTCTTTATACCAAGCCATACTGCTCTTGACCACACAACAAAGAAGCTTCTCTTTACTAAGAAATACTACTTAGGATTATAGATATCTGGGTACTCATTTCATTTCCCCAAACTACTCCCGAAGCTCCTTGGACTAAGCACACAAGTTAGCAAAACATGGAACTTTGCCATCAAAACATCAGACCTGAGTTCAAATCCCAGTTCTATCACATACTAGTTGAATGACCTTAAGCTAGTGACTCATCCTCTCGGAGACTCAGTTTATTCTTTTGTAAGATGGTGATGGTACCCACACCGTAAGAACTACTGTTACAATTAAACAAGATGTCTACCAACTACTAGTTCAGAGGGCGGCACATAAAAATATTAGTTCCCACACTACAAGCTGTATAACCTAGAACAAGTCACTTAAATTAATAATCCTATCTTCTCATCTGTTAAACTGAAAGGAAAAGAATAAACTCTAAAGATCACAATGCGTGCTTGTGAGGATGAAATGAGATGTTTAAAAGCTCTCTGTAAGCTTTAAAGCACTAGAAAAATGTAAGGTATGGTGCCCAGCAGAGCTTACCACAATGCCTCGCACAAAATTTTCAGTAAATGTTTGATAAATGCTACACAGAAGGGAATCTTGTTTATGTTGACAAGTCCCAAATCATCTGAGAGCACTGCTACTCCATAGGCAAACTTTATCCCTGGAGAACCAGGTGTAGAGTCAATTCAAAGGAATTTGTTAAGAAACACTTTACTTCACCCTACCACGTGTATCCTGGGCTCTCATTCTCGTAATATTTAAACCTTCCTCATGAGAGTAAACTAGCAAGCCGCATGGTGAATAACCTGAACCTCACTTATGATTGGAGTTCATGTGTTTTTGTACTTTCATAGCCAGGAAATTTGAAACACTTTTACAGGGGACAATGCTACTGTGGAGATGATAAAATGACATTCAAAACTTCCACCTTCTGGGGAAAGTATACCTCAGTGGTAGAGTGCATGCTTAGCATGTATGAGGTCCTGAGTTCAATCCCCAGTACCTCCATTTAAATAATAAAAAAAACTTCCACCTTCTACAACCTCACTGCCCTCTTCCAAGGTTCCTCTGACATCCCACTGCTGTGGACATAGGACTTCTTAGCCTGCAGTGAAAGTGCCAATCAAAAGCAAAACAAGCTCATCTCCAAGAACTACTGGTTCATACCAACTCTAGTTGGGCTGGAATTAAGTATTTCCTTTAAAAGGCCTTCCATTTCCTGCTGGGTTGGAGTAAATGTCCAGTTTGTATCAACACATTTAATTAACAGAGCACTTACTATGTCAGCAAGATGAGCAATCATGTGACAGTGTCTTCCACTGGAAGTGAAGTACACAGGCAATGCTCCCCTAGACTGCAAGCATCAACAGTTTTCTTCCAGGGATTTCAGAGCACTTTCGTGCTTAAATGCTTAAACAATCCTCTATCTTAAAAAAAAACAACCCATCCCAAGTCCATGCTCTTTCTTGAATGAGATGAAATTTTTATGTCATCCAAGCAACATGTAAACAGCTGCCCAGATTAGCTGTTTTCAGTAACAGCCCAGAAGGCTCTTCTAAATCTAACTGAATCTAAAGAAGAATCATAAAGCATCCTAAAGTTGGTTTCAAGGGAAAACCAATATAGCTTATTCATAAACATCTCTACAAGTGGATGAATAAATGAAACCCAAAGATAGCCCTCCAACCTAATCTTAATATTTAGTTTCTGACTCCTTTTCCTAGCAAACCTTTTTAAGACTGGGCAAGCAGGCCACAAAGTAAGAAAAGTAAAGATTTCTGATATTCCACAAACTGTTACTTTCTGCTGCTTTCTTAAAACAGTAGGTAAACAACTAATAACTGTTTATAATAACTGACCAACAGAAAGCAAAACACTAAAGGCAAAGATAATCCACAAACTAATAATCAAGAATTATTTATATCTGAGGTCAAATGTAAGAAGAGAATTGCTTCTTAACAGCTCCCACTTAACAATCCCACCCACACCACTCCAGCCCCTCTCAGACAGTGACACTTGGTGGTCACAGAGCAGAAGCCTAACATCTTTTAAACTTGATAAAATCATCCTTCTTTCAGATAATCTTTCTTCTACTACTCACTAAAGGTTCAGTTATTTAGTGAGTTTTCAAACCCTACAAACACTAAAGGATAACTTAGAGACTATTTTTCCCCTCAACATGCCAGTCATAAACTATTTTACTGGAAACTTATAAAATCTCTTCTGCTAATAGAAGTTCATCCAAAGATCTCCTATACTCTAATAGGAGGACTAAGCCAGGGTTTCAAAAATCTACACATCTGAGAATGGGATATTCTGTATGCAACAGCCTTTAATATGAAACCCAAGACTGTTCTGATTCTGTCCTCAGCCATCACTAAAAAACCTGTGGCATTTCCCTGGAATCTAGAAAGAAGGGAGCTCCAGACCTGAGGTAACTACACTCTGCCAGCCTCAGTTACCCTCTGTTGTTTCAACTGCCTGAGTGTTTCCTTGTTTTGCTGAATTGTAGCAAATACACAACATTCCCAAGAGAGACAGATGAATACATATTATTACAAGACTCTTCTAGAGGGAAAAATTTCCACCACACTAATTCAAGAGACTTAAGGAAAAAGGGAGCTGCTACAAAAATTGAAGACCTAACTTATTCATTCAACAAACATTTTTGAAGCACCTACTCTGTGCAAGGCTCTGTGTATATTCAGTGATGAACAAAACAGGTATAGTTCCCACCCCCACAAAAAAGTTCAGTGATACAGAAAAGTAAACAAATGATATAAAATTATAATTACAAAAAGGCTATGAATAGGGTAACCTTAAGTCCCAATTTGCCCAGGATATACCAATCTACGCTTGTCTCAGTGAAAAACAAAAGCATCTCCCTACCCCACACTCTCAAAAATGTTTCAGATTGGACTATTAATGATATGTCACCTTACAGTCTGAAGGGTAAGATATACTGTAAGAGAGAATAATGGGGGCAAATCACTTTAGCCTGGGTGATCAGAGAAGATTTCTTGGAAGAGGTGTCATTAAACTGAGTCCTGATGGATAACACTTCAGTCATTCTGAAAGGGTGTTCCAAGTACAGGGAACAGCAAAGCCTACAACAGGACTTGGGATATTATTATTATTGATCAATATAAACTTTGGCTAATAGAACTGAAGAATCAGAAAAGTTTTTGGGGTTCCCAGAGACCAATCTGTACATCCAAAATTAAAATATCCTAAACCTCTAATTTTGTTAGACCTTGAAATTCAAACATAATGGCAAAATTAAGCTCTATGGCAGTGGCTTTCAATTTTTTGTAGGTCATGAATCCCTCTGAGAATCTGAAAAATACTCCAGATCTTCACCCAGGAAACACATATATTCAGGTATGCACACACAGCAATTTCAGGAGGTTCAGAAGCAACACCCATACCCAACCCCATCAACACTGGAAGTTCACACATGAATTCCAGGTTAAGGAAAAAACAAAACAAAAAAAAAACAAACAAAAAAACCCCCAGTCCTCTTTTACAAAGGACAAAAGCCAGCTCTCAAATCTATTTCTCTGTTTGGGCATTAAGACACTTCTTAAAATCTTCTGAAGATATCCAGGAATAAAGAGAAAAATTAAACTGATATATTTTTTAAAATATATCAGAACAAGCAACTATAAGTCAGTGAAAAAAGTGAAAAACAAACAATGGACAATGTATGTACCACCAAGAGTCAAAGAGACTCAAATTTCCCATCATTTTGGAGAGCCAGAACTGCCCTCAAGTCCTTACCTTACTAACATTGAGTGAAGCTAGGGGAGGAGGGGTTTCTGTTCGGTCATTAATTATTTCCACTTCTGAAACATACTGTAAGTTTATGAGCAAGATGTCTGCGTGGTTGGGCTTTCCACTGGAAGAGGGACATTCTGGTGAAAAAATAAAGTTAAGGAAAATAGGGGCAAGCAGAGCACTGACATATCCCAAAAGGGGCATGGAAAACACAATTCACACAAGACTTCTGTAAAAGGTATGCCATGAGCAAGAGAGGGGAGCCTCACAAGAATCACAGCTCTCCTCAGGAAATCTCCACCTGTCACCTTCCTCCCGCTCACCCCCATAACCAAAAGATCTCAAGCTTTTCAAAGCCAAACACAATCCAGAACTGGAAGCCTCAAAAGGGTTTCTGTCACTTTCTCTCTACTGGTCTTATGAAGAGGCTTAATGCAGTTTCAATGCTGTATGTATACTACTGTTTGTCTTGAACTTAATGAACCACACAGGAGAGTAAGTACTTTCTGTTCTTGGTGTAATACCCCCTATATCTGAACAGTGCTCTTTTCACTTCTTCAGATTTGAGATTTCCCATTTTGCAGAGGAGTAAACTAAAGCACTGGAAAGGAAGGTGACCCAACTAGTTAACCCATTCATTCATTCATTCACTCATTCTCCAGTCATTTCTCAAGAGCATACTGTATGTCAACTTCCTCATTCCAAAACCCTTCCAACTAAACCACTAATGCAAAAGGTCTTATTTGGTCCAGGTATAAAGTCTTGTATTTAAACAAACAAACAAAAAAGAAAACAACAACAACAAAAAAAATGCAACTCTTCTTGCTGTAATTAGTTTCAAAGGACATCTTCCTAAGCTAGAAATTTACAAATGGTGGCTTAATGAATTAAAATACTTGTCACTCAAAGGCAGCAGACTGAGGAAGAAACTTCCTTTTGAAAGGTGCCATAAAAGATTACGCCTCAAAAAAAAAATCCAAATAAACCCACCTGTGGCTTAAATAAAAGGGGAAGGGGTGGCACATTTATTACAACCAGGAAGTATTTTGTTTCCAAGATTGATTTTCCTGGCTTAATTCAGAAATCATTTCTACCCCAAAGAAAGAGGCCACCTTTTCCATTCTGTTTAACACTACCACTTTCAATAGAGAAGGCTACTACTGTGGAGAAGTCAGGACTCCATGTGCCGGACTGAGCAAGAGAAGGTAACTTATTCTCTCACCTGTAACCCACACATCCATACATAAGCCCCTGAAAAACGTGGTCCTCTCTCTGGACAAGGTTCCCAATACAAACATCCCCAAAACAGCAATTTCCAAATGACTGAGAAGCCTAAAATTCAGCACTACTTGCCCCCAGTGGCACCACTCATACACAAACACCAGCAAAACAAGCCCCTATCCCCAGTTCTGATATAAACTCTGTCCTGCAGTTACTCTCCCCCCAAACAGGCGAAGCCCATTTGGTCACAACCCCACCGCCCTTTCTTGGACCAAAACCCATCAGTAGACAAGCCGTACTCAACTCCATATCCTTGTCCCACTAGCAGCTCCTTATTCTACACACCCCCTCCCCAGATGATTTTACCCGCCCCCCTTCCATCCGGGTTCCAATCACCAGCCCCCTCCCACGACCACCCCTCTGAAGATCACTGTGCTGTGTCCCCTCTCCAAGCGTTCCCCCCGAAAAGCCATCCGCGTGTCAAGCCCCCGTCCACCCACCCACCCTCGCTCGGGGCCCAGCTCCCACAAGGGGTGGGAGACAGGGTCCCCAAGGCGGACCGAGGGACCCGTGAGAGGGGGAGGGGAGCTCAGGGCCGTGCGCATGCGCTCCGGGCGCCGCGGT